CACTGGGAATCAAGCCAGCAGCCCGGGCATATGCGCTTGGCCAGAATAGAACCTGGGACCCTTCAGTCTAGAGGCCAACACTCTATCCACTGAGCCAAACCGGTTAGGGCCAGAGAACATTTTGATAGTTGCCAGATGGGTGGGAGTTTTGGAGATGGGTGAAAAAAGTGAAGGGATTAAGAAGTACAAATTGATAGTTACAGAATAGTCGTGGGATGTAAAGTACAGCATAGGGAATATAGCCAATAATATTGTAATAACTATGTATTATGTCAGATGGGAAATACATTTGAGCCAAACCGGTTAGGGCCAGAGAACATTTTGATAGTTGCCAGATGGGTGGGAGTTTTGGAGATGGGTGAAAAAAGTGAAGGGATTAAGAAGTACAAATTGATAGTTACAGAATAGTCGTGGGATGTAAAGTACAGCATAGGGAATATAGCCAATAATATTGTAATAACTATGTATTATGTCAGATGGGAAATACATTTATTGGGATGATCACTTTGTAAGTTATGTAATGTCTAATCCAGGGGTGAGCAAACTTTTTGACTCGAGGGTCACAATGGGTTCTTAAACTGGACCAGAGGGCTGGAACAAAAGCATGGATGGAGTGTTTGTGTGAACTAATATAAATTCAAAGTAAACATCATTACATAAAAGGGTACGGTCTTTTTTTTTTTTTTTTTTTTTTAGTTTTATTCATTTCAAACAGGCTGGATCCGGCCCCCAGGCCATAGTTTGCCCACGGCTGCTAATCACTGCGTTGTGCACCTGAAACTAATATAATATTGTATGACAACTGTAATTAAAAATAAAAACATAATTTAAAAAAAAAGAGTTGATATAGAATACATTTATGTAGTGGCTAAAATTGCATTCCGACTTTCCTGTCACAAGTGATCTGGTTATGGAACCAAATAATCTGGCACCAAAAGGAGCTCTTGATGAGTTCAGTTTTTGTTTGTTTTTCTTTCCAGAATGAGTCTACATAATGAGAGGAAATAAAGGTGGGTAAATACAGAAGAATAACACACACAGTTGGGGAAATGACAGAGACTATAAAATAGGCCTTTATTTTCTTTCAAAAAAATTATTTGTGTGTTTTAGGCAATTTTCAGTTTGGGAGCCAAGAAAAAGAATAAAAAAAGCCTTATCAGTTGAGGCAATGACAGAAAGCAAATATCCCCAACTCTCAATTTTGCTTTGATCTTTTATATTAAGAAGAAAAGTCTTAGAACTGAGAACAGATGAAAGGAGCTGAGAGGGAACAAAGTTCACAACAGGTAAGGAGACACCCAAAGGGTTCCTTTCATCTGAGCCAAGTATTCTGGTCTAAACAGTTTATAACTCATGACAGACACATCTTGTCAATGTGACTAAACACTAGGTTTTATTCTTTGAGAAATTAAGGAGAATTGGGAACAGGAAAATCGTTTTGATTTTTAAAAAGAAAAGTTAAAATCTGGAAACAACAGACTAGTAAATGATGTTAGCCCACAGCAGAATTCTTAAATGGTTTATTAAATATTTTCTGAGCAGTTAGAGAAGTGACAAGCACCACCAGCCCACAGGGGCTCAATAAAATTAAAGCAGGCCAAGCGGATCTCATTTTCTCTTTTGTAAGCATAGCTAGACAGGAGCAGCAAGGACTGCAGACATAGAGATGCAGCAAGGAATGCTTCGCTTGATCTCTGCCACTGAAAAGGGGTCTTCTTTGGGTCCAGCGGATAAAGGGGCAAAAGTTCTACTGATGTATAACTTACTGAGTAATTAAACCCAAAGAGTGTTGACTGCGTGCTGCAGGATTCTGTATTTGGCCCTACCCTAAACAATGTAGGTATCAACAAGATCAAGACTTAAGAAAAAAAGTACAGCAACAATTGTACAGGTGACTTCAGGCTAGGAAGGAGAGCTAATATATTGGAAATAGAGTCATTAATCAAAACGATCTCAGCAAGCAGCAATAACGTAATGAAATTTAAAATTCAAGTAAAAAATAATTCAATAGAATTCAAATTTAAAGAATTCAGTAAAGATGCCAAATCCTGCACCATATATATTCTCAGATACAGATAATACAGGGTCTCTGGAAACAAGTCAAGTGATGCTGTAATAATGTACTCTTCAGATAGGAACATCAGACTGCTCAAAGGCAAGACATATAGAACAAGAGATGCTCTTAGTGCTCTTATCACTTAGGAAATTACAAGGGTTTCAGGAGCTTTGTGCCAGGAACATAGTCCCCAAACCACCTCCTTCACACAACAAAAGGCATGAGCTCTTTCTGGCTCTCATCACTTAGGAAATCCCAAGAGTTTTGGAGTCTGTGGCAGCGAGGGTGGCAGAGACCAAGTGCGTATTTCTTATTATAAATCACAATATCACATTTTTGTTTTCTTTTCTCACCTACCTCTTTCCTAGAGGATCAGCAGCTGGGTGAACATGTTTGCTTTGACACAGAACCAGAAGTTACATTTTCTACAGGGACTTTCAGTTATATTCTCAGAAACTCATTTAAAAATAGTTTGTCATTTGCCTAAATAAAAAAATGTGAATGTTCGCCATAAATCTTATGGATTTCCACATCTGTGGAAAGGAGGGTGAAATGTATAGGGGAGTGAAAGACCTGGGAACCATGAAGGAAAATGGGAAATAAAATGTAAAAACAAGAAAAGTGAAGAATACAGTGTGAAGAATTTCCTGGGACGATGTGTTGTGAGAGCCACCCTTAAATATGTGAAGAACTGTCTTTTGAAAGAGAAATCACAAGTCCACATACTCCAGGTGACTTCAGAAGAGAGGAATGAGACCCTTGCCCAGAGTCATGGGGGTCTTAGACTTGGATACACTAACACACTTCTTATCACCCTTGCTGCCCCCAAAACGCACAGCTAGAGTCCCATCAGAGGTGGAGGCTGCAAAGAGATTTGCAAACTCTGAGAGGAGGGTTTAGGCTGCTCTGTTGCCATGTAAAAAAGTCATCATGTAGTTTATTCTCTTATACACAACACCCGTGATCTAGTGAGGAAGGCAGCATGGTATAGTGGTTAAAAGTTTAATGCCACCCCTTCAAGTCTGAACCCCAGCTCTGTCACCTACTCACCATGTGACCGCAGTGACCTTGAGCAAGTTAACTATCCCCCCTGGACCATAGTTTTCCCATCTTCAAATTGGGGCTGGTATGAGCATCCACCCATGGGATTATATGAGAGCCCCTGGGTTGATGCACAAGAAGCACTCAAAACAGTGTCTGGGACCAAGGAAATGCGTGATAAAGTTAGCAATTTATTGCGATTATTCTGTGATTTTTTTTTTTTTTTATCTCCCTGAAGATTCCTGGTTACCAGTTATAGGTTACAATGTGCCGTTCACCTGAGCAGACAGGAGGATGTCGCTCAAAGATTGGAGACTCGAGTATCACTCAAAAAGGACTTTCACCTGAATATGACTACAAACTCGAAGACCAGCACAGCATAGAGCAGAAGGGAGAAGCCAGCGACTCTTGACTCTTGTCCTCATTTACAGACCCACATGTTTCTCAAGCCAGCTACCCCTGGCAGAGATTTCTGTCCCCGGAGGGCAAGCTGCTGCCCTGCGGTTAGCAAACAGTTTGGAATGTGGATCCAGCGTCTAAGGAGCAGCCTCCACTGAGGCCTGTGCTGGCTTCTCAGGCTCCTCTCCCAGATCCACAATGCGGATGGTGTCTTCCTTCTTGGAAAGCCAGAAGGCTGGGTAGACTGGCTCCGAAAACTTGCAGTCAAACCTGTGAACCAGAGTCATGGCATCGGGCTCCACACCATAGAAGGAGAGCATCCCTCCCGGGAAGTTGATGTAGATGCCCAGCCTCCGGAAAGGGCCGGCTTTGAGCGGGGTCTCCGTGTCACTGTGCCAGGCCGAGAACTCCTTCCCGTTCCAGTGCAGGCTCCAGGAGAAGTTGTTTCCTGAAATACAGCTGTTGCGCTCCTCCCCTTTCCGGTCGATGCCTTTGCAGGTCAGGCCGAAGTAGGTTCCTGCCCCAGAGATCTCTATCTCGAAGTAGTACCTGTGCAGGTACAGGCTCTGCTGGGACAGCACCTGCCGCCAGTGCAGGAACCTGCTGGGGAGGTCTGGGTAGGGATGCTCCCAAGGTGTAGTGTTGGTGACTTTGCGGTTGTCCTCCTGCAGCCGGAGATACCTGTGTGCCGTGTCAGGGTCAAACGCGATATCACAGGCATCTGAGGAGATATGGAAGTCAGGGAGAGTAGGTCAGAAAGCCAATGAACACCTCAAACCTGACCATCCTCCGGAGTATGAGAATGCACCCATCTCTCTGTTCTGCTTACCCAGGCTGCTCTGAACCCTGGAAAAAAGTTGCTGCCCTGTGGTTAGCAAACCAGAAAATGAAATACAATGTGATATTGTGATTTATAATAAGAAGTACATGCTTGGTCCCTGCCCCCACCCCTTGCCGGCACAGGGCTCCTGAAACCCTTGTAATTTCCTGGGTGATAGGACTGACTTTTTTTCTAATGAGGTGACCAGGGTGGGCCCCTGGATGGCTCCTGGATGGGGCAGAGACCAAGCCATGATTAGAAGGTTGGAATTTTCAGTACCGCCCCCACTTCTCCAAAGAAGGGAGCGGGGCAGGAAATGGAGTGACTTGATCGTGCCTACATGAGGAAGCTCCATTTAAAAATCCCATTAGTGGGCGAAGAGCTTCCATGTGGGTAAACATATGCACCCTGGAAGGTGACGCACCCCAACTCCATGGGACAGAAGCTCCTGACCTCCGTTCGCTCCCAGACCTCACCATCTGTAGCTCTTCACCTGGCCGTACACCTATGTCCACTATCATGTCCTATAATAAACAGATCTGTGAGCTGCTACAGCAAATTAATCCAACCAAGGAGAGGTCATGGGAACCTACAATTTGTAGCCAAATTGTATAGAAGTTGTGGGTAACCTATTATTTGTGAACAGCATCTGAAGTGGGGTAGGAGAAATTTCATGGGACTGAGCCCTTAGCTGGTGGGATCTGACACCATCTCCAGGTAGACAGTGTCAGAATTGAATTAAATTATAGGTCACCCAGCTGGTGTCTCATAGAACTGCTTGTTTGAGAAACTTATGCACACACATGTTGGAAGTGGTCCCAGATCCTTTTCAATAAGTCACTCCACTTCCTTTCTTTCTGAAGCTCGAATTGCTTGGCATTTCCTTTATTACTTGCTGAATTGAATCAAGAAATAAAATCCATAGATTCACTTATTAATTCTTTCAACAAATATGTGCAGAAAACCAGGCACAATTCTACCAAGTGTCGGCACATTTTATCCATTATTTGTGTGTGTGTGTGTGTGGGGGAGCTAATATCTGACCAATTTTTAGCCTGGTGAACTCTCAAACAATCCCCACACATCTCTTCCCAGTCCCAGAAAATGATAGCACCTCCATGCACCCAGTTGCTCAAGTCTCACTAAAGTTATTTGCAACATTTCTTTTGCTCTCATCCTCACACCCACTTTGGCCCTCCTCACACACACAGGCATCAGCAAACCCTTTGGATGCTACCCACTTCTCTCCAGGGCACTGCTTCACACACACCCTCCCACGGATCTCGCCCAGACTAGGACTACAGGCTCCTTGCTGGTCATATTGCTCTCCCATGCCCCCCCACCGCTCATATCATCCCCAGGATGGAGTCACAGTGTTTGTTTCAGGATGTAGGTCAAAGTGAATCATGTCCCGCAGCTTATAGCCCTTGGGTGGTGCCCACTGCTCTTAGGACAGTGATGGCGAACCTTTTGAGCTTGGCGTGTCAGCATTTTGAAAAACCCTAACCTAAACTCTGGTGCCATGTCACATATAGAAATTTTTTGAGATTTGCAACCACAGCAAAACAAAGACTTACATTTTTGATATTTATTTTATATATTTAAATGCCATTTAACAAAGAAAAATCAACCAAAAAAATGAGTCCGCGTGTCACCTCTGACACGCGTGTCACCTCTGACATGCATGTCATAGGTTCGCCATCACTGTCTTAGGATAAAGCAGTGACCCCTCGCCCTGACCTACCTGGCCCTGCATGATGGGTCCTTGACTGTGTCTCTAGCCTTGTCAACTGCCCTCTCCACTGATCTCAGACCCACCTAATACTGAACCCCCTTAAGGACTTTAGCACAGGTCATTCCTTCCATGATGTCATTGCTGCCCCAGCCGGGTCCGGGGACTCCTACTGATCCTTTCAGGTTGCAGCTGAGATTCCTGTCCTTAAAGAGGCTCCCTGTGACTCCCTGATCTGAATCACTCCCATCACTGAGCACTCTGGCTTTTTTAAACTTCATGGTACTCATGACGATGTGTAATAATTTTTTTGTTTCATGCTCGTTCTCCTTCTTATCTGTAAGAGGCACATTTTATGTGGGACTCTCTCCTGGGATTCTAGCTCAGAGAAGATGTGCAGTATATACTTGCCAAATGAATGCACATATTAAAGGCTATTTTAAAATCCATTAACTTAAAAAGTTCTCAGTTTAACTCGGAGCTTTCCCAAATCCTTTGGTAAGAGGGATTCTTAGTAGTCAATGAGACTACATCCTGGAATAAAGCACACAGCAATGCAGGAAATTAAAGGCAAAAATGAGTGTAAACTGAGGAGCATCAAAGGCATATAGTCTGCAGCTGTTACTAAAAGTGGCCCCAACAGTATCCGCAGTATCGCTCTTTCCCACCACCAACTCCGTGGGCAATCCTTGGCATCCAGATATTGAACAAAGGTGTTCTTCTCATTTAAGGGGATGGAGGACTCCCTGGAGGGTAGGTGATTCCATGTTTTGGGACAAGAAAGCCAGAATGGGTCTGGAATAGCCCTAAAAGCAATGATACTTCTAAGGATGTCAAAGGCAGAATGCCAACGTGTAAAAGAGAAAGAGGCCAGAGTACAAGTGGCTCCCACTGGTCAAGGTGGCAATTTGAGCCCCAGAACTTTGAAAAGTGAAACATCAGAGTCTACAAAGGCTAAAGGTTCATAACAACACTCACATAGAAATAGTTAATATTGGGTGTACAAAAATATATTTGTCATGCAAAAGAAAATAGATTATAATAGGATATGTGTCATTTTTGTTTTAATGTTAAGAAAGAAGGGTATTTGGCTTCTTGTATTAATCATATCTGTTTGTAAAATACAGATGTTCTTCTGCCAGGAGAAGGCAAGAATAAACCATAGAAACGGTGTGGAAGCCAAGAGATCCTGGGAAAAGTCAGAGCTGTGGCAGGAGTAGGAGGCAGGCATCAGAAGCTGAAGCTGCATGTGATAACTGGAGAAAAAGGGGCCCAGGAGTTGGTCAGCCAGGGGTCATCCCCCAAAATAATAAGAAGCAGAGTTCAATGGCGTATTCCAAAAAGATGAATTAGCAATGTCACCAAAATGAGCCTTCACATGCAGATACAGTCCTTCCTCTACTAGGAGATGAAACCTCATGGGCTTGTTAACCATCATGAAGTGTCGATTGGCAGTGCAGTGTTGTAATAATGCTAACAGAGCAGGTCAATACCACATCATGACAGGACAATGTGTTATGCAATCCTGGCCAAGCCAGACTTCATGGGGAACTATTTGGTATCAACAAGGCTGTACAAAAGTGCCAAGGTCGTGAAAGACAAAGAAGGACTGAGGGACCAGACCCAGGTTGGGGGAGTCTAAGGAGGCATGGAAACACCTGTGATCCTGGATTGGACTTTTGGTTAAAAAAAAGGACATTGGTTAGAACACTTGGTGAGATGGGAATACATTTTATAGAACGGTTAGTATCACTGTAGCCACACTGTTTATTCCCTGGTTTTGATCAATGTACTGAAGTTATGCAAAGTGTTAACATTTGGAAAAGCTGGATAAAAAGTACATGGAATTCTTTGTCCCCTTTTTGCAATTTTTTTTTAAGTTTGAAATTGTTTCAAAGTGAAAAGTTAAAAACAATTGTAATTAAATTTTTCAAAATGTACCATTTAGAGATAGTCCAAAGTTTGCAAGAAGCTGAAACCTCTGTGAGAGAAGGTATTCCTGCTTCAGCAGAGCATGGCACTGACATCAATAACCAGGAAGAGAGCTGCTCACACTTACATTGGAGGAACTGTTGCCTGGTGCTGGGCTCAGGTTTTGAGGTCCGATACTTGCGCTCGACCACAGCTGACACTTGCGTTCTGATGTCATATTCCTCTAGAAAGTCAGAGAGTTGTGAATGCATACCTGTCCGGGTGTTCAGGAGAACTCAGAAGCAGGTCTTCCCAGCCACCCTTCCCCAGGTTTCAGGAGGGAGATGGGGCTGGAGCCTCATCACGTCTCAGAAAACCATGCTCACTGGACCACATTTCTCTCATGAAGCAAAATAGCCTGAAAAAGATGTCAGACTGGCCTGTATTTCACTTAAAAGTATAGGTGTTAGCAATCTGAGAGACATAGAAATGTCAGCCAATGGCATGATGTGACTAGCCCACCTTATCTGGGTCTTAATTGTAAAATGAAATCAAGACCTGTCCATTAGGAACACAGTCTGGCCAAAGGATGGCTTTGAAAATGAGACGTGCCCCTGATTTCACCTCCTCCCCTGGCGCTCTCTCTCACCTTCCCCATCAACCACTCTGAGAGACACACACCACAGCCCACAGGAAGTTTCTCACCGTCCTTCGCGAACTCCTGGAGCTTTTCCTTATAGTTGTGCAGCAACTGGACTAGGTGCACAGTGGAGTCCGTGATGACCTTGCGGATGCCCGAGAGCTTGTCCTTGAGTCCTATGTAAACGCTAGGGAAGGCACTGTCCTCAGTGTTCTTAAACTTGCAGTACTCCTGCAGGGAGGGAAGCACGGCATTGCCCTGGTTTCTGTGTTTCCTTAACTGGCTGCTCTCCTCATTCTGTCCCCCTTTGCTGCTGTAAAATGGGTCGATGGCAATGTGCACCTCACAAAGGGAGTATGTCAGACGTGCATTAGTCTCAGGGGCTAGCAACATAGAAACCATTTATTTTTTAAGCTGGGAAAGTGGGTTTTTAAAAATCAAGAGGTACTAGAAGCACATGAGCAGCTCCAATACACAGCCCAGACTGGAGCCAAGAAGACATTTAATGCCAACAGCCAAAGGAAATGATAGTCCTGCTACGCTCACACCCTCAGGACTTTTTAAAATAATTTGGACATAAGCCACAGTGGGGAATGGAGGAACCTGTATGGCGCTCAGAGGTGCAGGGATAAGACCTCAGACAGGAATGCTGGCTGCTCTCCCTGCCCGAGTTCACGATTCCCGCTCATTCTTGTACTGTGATTCGGAGTTTGAAAAGTGCTTCCACAGAGATAATCACATTAAGTCAGTGATGCTTCAAAACAATGTGATGATCAGGAAATGTTGCTTTCAGATGTAACACGTTATCCAACTCAAACGTAATTGAAGCATTGAAGGGCAGACTGGGTACAGCGTAAAACTTAGTGATGGAAGCAGTTGTACCAAAACGGTAAGATAGATCAGTGAGAAAGGAGAAACAGTCCAAACCAGAGAGCTGATAGAAAGGTAGAAGAACATCGAAACACTGTATATAGATTTTGAACCACACATGATAACAGTAGCCAGCAGGGAAAGGACAGGTTATCCAATAGCTGTTGTCATGTTAGCTGGCTAGCAATTTGGAGAAAAGGAAATTATTTTTACCAAAAGTAAGTTAACTTATCTAAGATACTTTGTGCATATTAAAGTTCTTATGTTAAAGCTATAAAAGGAAAGTGAAAAGAAATTGTGTATATTCTCTTTGGAGAAACTCATGATATGAAGGTCAATTTTGATTCATAGTCTCTTCATGTTTTGATACTGGAAAGCAAGGAACTAACAAAAAGACATTCCATCCATATTTTTGTCTTTGCTTCTCTTTCTCTTACTCATTACAAGGTTAACTATGGTTATCTGGGTGGTGGGAGTATGGGTGATTATTTTCCTGGTTTTCACACAGTAAACATTTATATTTGTTGTAACTAGAAGGGAACTTTTAAAAAAATGCAACAGAGAAAAATTATCTGTATTTAGGGATATTGGATCTGAAGGAACTAATTATGTACTTTGCCCTGATCCTTTGATAAGTGAGGAATTTGGGAAGTTAAATGACTTGCTAAAAACTACACAGCTCCTTAGATCCAAGATGAGAGAATTTAGGTCCAACCAAGTGTCCCTCCTCTGCAATAGCACAGGGGCTCTGTCTAGCTCTAATGGCCTGTGCCCTGCATACTGTGCACTGCAAGGAAAGTCTCTCCTCATGGGGCCTTCCTCAATCCCCGCACATGTAACAGGCCTCCAGCCTCACCCTGCCAGGCTGGCCTCACCACATCACAGTGGTTCGAAAGCACACTCCTTGAGTTCATCCCCCCCGCACCTGAGGTCCTCCACTGCTTCTGTGACTCCCTGATGAAGAGCAAAGTTCTCTCACAGCCAGATGCCTGCTAGGCCTGGCCAGCCTCCTCTCCCATCTCTGGGAAAGCACCTAATCCCCCAAATCAGCATGCTTTCTCAAACCTCTGCCTGCATACATGCTTTCTCAAACCTCTCCCTGCATACATGCCTTCTCAAACCTCCCTGCCTGCATACATGCTTTCTCAAACCTCTGCCTGCATACATGCTTTCTCAAACCTCCCTGCCTGCATATATGCTTTCTCAAACCTCCCTGCCTCCATACATGCTTTCTCAAACCTCCCTGCCTGCATACATGCTTTCTCAAACCTCTGAATCATTCTTCTGAGCAGTACTCATCTTCCCTGACTGGTTCCAGCTTCGTACTCTGCGAAGTTTCCCCTGCCCTGCCTGTTCTCCTGTGCTCTGCTGAATCAAGACCTGCCTCTATGCCCCCCTTGCTCCCACTGATCAGAGGGCAGCTCCATCCCTACATCTGCCAGCTCACTCCCTGGTGGTCCTGTGCGGACACCTCTGTCCCCACCCAGACTGTACCTCCAGGAACAGCACGGTGTTGCTGATGGCAGCGATCCTCCCCAGCTCCTGCTTGCTCTTCTCCATCTCTGCGCTGCTGTGCTCCAGGTGCGTCTTGATGCCATTGGCCTGGCTCAGAGCGGCTTGCTCTTTCTCCTCCAGGAAGAGCATCACATCAGCCTGGGCCTTCCTCACGGCAGCAAGGAGCTCCCCAAACTGCTCCTCAGCCACCATCTTCACCTCTGACACTGACACCTGGCCGGGCGGGGAGGGGGACACAGAGAAGAACCTGTTAGCAAGATGTCCACTGTTATCGAAGCTAAACACACCGAAATGTAAACCTGATAAACAGATTAAGGAACAATTTTCTATTGTAAAAGGAGACTTTATTCTCATATGAACCCTGGGTTATGAAAAGAGATACTCCGCAGCATGTAAAAGGACTTGTGTACCTGTCATTCACTTAGGCTCTCATCCACTGGATGAGAGAGTAAATTGTATGTGTGCCAGACGCCTTCTGGCTCTGACAGTTGGGCTGCTATTCAAAGTTCTGAAATCAATTTCTCTACCAGGGTAACTCAAGAGTTCAGTGTACTTTATAGTTGTATTTATTGTAGTTAAACTATTATTTTGGCATCTTTGTACAAATCTGTAGCATGAATTAGCTTTCTTAGCATTTTGTTATATCTGTTTAAACAGCCCACTGAGGCCATCAGTGCCGAAAGCATAAGTACGTTTATGGCATCCTGCCAGGCATGAAATGATTAGGGTATGTTTGGTGCAGAGTGAGCGCCACATTCAAATAACAGATAAACAAACTCAGAGTGATAGCTGTCACATGGCACTGTGCATGTGGGACATCCATCCATCTACCTTTCACAGGTGAACATCTTATAAATGCCTTCCTTCAGTCAGTCTCACATTTACAATATCCATCCAAATTGTGGATGGTTTCTGCTTCTCTTTGATTCTTCTTAAGTACTGGTGCCTTCAGTTCTTCTAGTAAAAAGTTCTTTTTCACTCTAGTTAAGATTTCTTAAAGTACAGTAAAAATATTGCATTCTCATGAATAATGAGCCCTACACTCCTAGCCCTAGAACTAGATTCTAGGTGGTCTGGGTGCTGGATGCCAAGTAACCTAGGAGATGGGTCCCAGGAGATCTGGCCACATCCACTGGTCTTTATAATGAATGTCACTTGGATTTCAGGTGGCCTGGGTATGTGAGCACTTCAGGAGGGAATTGGGGTTCCTGGAGGTCTGGTGTATGCAGATGGGGATCCAGGCATTGGCACAGGACTGGAAAGTTCAGAAAGTTTAAGTTCCCAGGATAGTTAGGACAAGATTAGAGTCTTGCCTCATGCCTCAGCCTCCATAATGTTAATAATGTTATCAACTTTGTGAAAGTGACTTCATTTTATATATTTCCTATTATCACTCTGTCCTCAGAGGCAACAAGCATTTATCTGGAATTAAAAAGAATTGCAGCTCAGAGAACACCAATTCCGGGAGAAACCCAAACAGTGTCCCAATTACAGGATGAGGGCAAGGGGTTATTATGAAGAAAAGAAGGGAATAACTACATGAACAGGAAAAAAAAGAAATTTCTGTTGGTGCTAACAAGCTGGGTCACTCTTGAGCTATACATGGCTGGTTTCTGATTCTTCTTCAGGAAGAGAGTCCATAATTTTCAGTCCTTCTGGCCAGATGTTTGCTTTCCTGTTGCCTTAGCAAGACAATGTTGGTTTGGCCTGGGATGTTGTGGGAAAGGAGAGGAATACACTTACTCCCTATAATGATGACATGTAGGTTCCTCATAGAAGCATGATTGCATGAAGCTCAGATGCATAAAACTAAAGACAACCTCAGGGTCCAAATCCCCCCTCCCTAGAGGGGTCCTCCTGAGGAGGAGCTATAGACAGGAGGCCTCAGATGATGCTGGTGGATTCGTTCTTCTGCTATTATGTGTAGCCTCTCACTCCTAAACGTTCCTGGAGAAGTACTTCTTCCTTGCATGTAAATGGAATGTGTGAAGGATTTAATTTATGCCCAAATGATGACAAATAAAGATGATGGAAAGGAGGGGCCACAAACATCAAAGCGCCAAAGGTGATGGTGTAAAGAGGATGGTGCACATGTCTGCCAATGTATTGACTCATTCTTAGGTCAAGGGAGCAACAGTCCCAGGTTCACCTGTTCCATCAGTCTGGAGGCCCCAGGCAAGTCTTATCATATCTCTGTCTCCATGTCCTTCACACATGGTGACCTGGTGATAACTACCTCTCCCAGTTACCATGCAATTAGGAAGAGAGCTGGGTAGGGATCTAAGTGTCTGAAAATGAAAGAACATTTCAGAAAAAGGCAAAGTGCTCTGTGTGATTGCCCATATTATGCCAAGCCTGGAAATCAACAATCTCTGAAGGTTTATAAGGCTTCAAATGGGTGATCGTTTTTCTTGTTTTCATTTGATTATGTGGGTAAGAAAGAGGTGTTTACCCTTCAGGAGCTAGTTATTTGTAAACACTAAGGAGGAGGAAATTAAGTTGAAATGAATACATGCATTACATATGGGTGGGTTGATGGAGGGAGGGATGCATGGATGAGTTAATGGATGGGTGAGTGGATGAGTGGATGGATGGATGGATGGATGGATGGATGAATGGATGAGTGGATGGATAGATGGATGGGATAAAATAATTCTTGTTATACAAAGATGCTGCTACTGATTCACTGCCATAGGGTAGGTGTATTGAGTTCTCTTCTGAGTAGTGGTTATTGGTTTGCCACTAATGAGAAACATTTGTGGGACTGTTTGTGTCTACATACAGTTTATATGCAAAGTGGTCACAAAACCAGAGAGACTAACACTAAGTAGCCTGCACACCATTGACCTTAACTACTACCATCCACTAACCCAGCAGTTTTCAACTCTCTTTTCTGTCTGCCAAGACATGGGACTAGTGACACACATGCAGGTGGAGAAGCAAAGATTATGTATAATTCCTGGAGCTCTATCTAAACACCCCCTGCAAATCCCCCACACCCTTTTCTCCTGCTCAAGAAAGAATATACAAATGTAATTACAGGACTAGTCTTGCTTTTACTCTATATTATGAAAAAGTAACTCACTTGCCAAGTTTGAGCCTTAAGCTAATTTCATAGAAAGTTTGCCACCCAACAGCAAGTTTGCCATCCAGGGGTGTAGCTGACTGCATCTGTTCCTATAATTCTTATTTGCTGAGAGACCCTGAAGCGTCCCGGGGCCTGCAGCCCCATGTTCTACAACCCTGATGGGCCTAGCTGAGCCTGCAGCTGCATCCAGATGTGTACTGAAGCCTGACAGGTGACCCAGTCCAGCCTTACCAAAACGGATTTATGATTGGCTTGGAGCCTGGCAATGGCATTTTCATTCAACTTGAGTTTCCGCTCCAGGTCTAGCTGGGTGCTCCGAAGCTCAGCCTAAGAAAAGAAAAAGACAGCATTAAGTAGGAAGGAGTCCAACGCACACAGAAGGTCCCAGGAGCAACAGCACTCTCCACCTACTTTCATGGAAAGGAGAGTTTGACCTCGGAAGCTGCTCTCAAAGTCAGCCCAAAGCACCCTAAATGGAGGTGCCCAGGGTCATCTGTGTGCCAGCACCTCCTGGGGCTGCACGCAGCACGAATTGGCTATAATATGGGGAGCACGTACACGGTGCAGGCTTGTCATTATTTTTAGCAGTTGTACGGATTACCTCATATCAACCCGACCACACCCATATTAGGTTAAGGTCATTATCTCCATTTTACAGATGATAACATGAAAGGTGAACTTTGGAGTTGAGTCCAAGCCATCTGACCTAGGCCAGAATAACCTAACAAGGAGCATGGGCTTGGAGCTGATGGAGGGGACCCCGGGCTTTCTACTCGGCAGCTAAGACTTTGAAAAAAATCTACTTAACACCTCGGGACCTCCATTTCTTCACCTGTGAAGTCCTAATTTGCAGGGTTCCTGTGAGAGTCAAATGAGGTAGCCTGTGTTAATAAGAACTCTGCACAGTAGCTGGAGCATTGTAAATGCTGCATCAATGCCAGGGATGCTGTCACCTTCATCAGTATCCTTAGTATTGTTGCTGCCCCAGCTGTTTTCCACCACGCATTCTTGTTCACTCCTGGAGGCAGGTATAGTGAACCAGCGATGCAAGTGCCCACCTGGGAACCTCGGTTTGACCCCACTGCCCAGCTTCATCTCCTGGGACACCCTAAGCACTTTCTGCCACAACATGTGCCAAGGGATGAAACATAAGCCTTTGAAAACTTTCAAGGCCCTCTCACTTTCCTGCTTCAAGGGCATGAGACAGCAAAAAAGAAAAAAGAATAGCTTTTGCTGTAATTGCTTTTAATAGGTTGTCTGCATTCAAAGCCATGAGTCATTGTGCCCTAATAGGACTCAGAGGCTACAAATGAAGTGCCTCTCCTTTCTCCCACTGAAACCTGGGGGACACCCAGGCCTCCCAGTGAGGAAGCCTTGGCAGGCAGGTACTGCTTGCTCAGCCCTGGGGCGCTGACTTGGAGCTGAGGGAACCCCAGTGACCTCCCTCCCACTCCTGAAACCTGAGGCCTGATGTCCAGGAGTGCGTTGGGGGAGGGGATAGGGTCTATTTGGGGGCAATTGTGGAATCTTGATCTGTCTAAAACAGCAGTCACCGACCTTTCAGACCTCATAGACCACCAGTGGTCCGTGGACCACCGGTTGGCGATTGCTGGTCTAAAAGGTTTACACAACGACCTTTCCCAGAGGAGGGGAAGAAACATGAGCTGCTGTTTAAAAGGAGACGCAGATACAACAGGACACCCTGGCGATGTGAGAATGTGGTGAAGCAGTGAGCCCCGGCATGAGCCAGAGCCACAAGGAGACCCCAGAGAGTCACCAGGGAGGCACTTCTCTCACTTCTGCAAACCACCATAAAAGGAGAAAAAGGCTCCTATGAACCTAATGGTGACCTCTCTGAGTGAGTCACCCCAAGAGAAGTCACTCCTGTTTACCACAAAAGGTGGGGTCACTTTGAGAAACCAGTATCTCCAGTTGTTCCTCCTCCTGGAAAATGATGGGGTGGCTCAGACTCTGGCTTCAGGGTTTCCTACGATGCCAGCCATACACATCTCAGGCCAGGGCGCATGTCAATGGAAGAGACAGCCCAGTGTTGAAGGGCACAGAGTCCTGCCTGCTTCAACAGGGCAATGACAACTGTGCAAAAGGCACCGTATCTGGGGTCTGGAGGCCTGGTTGCTGCCTGTACAACCTTCATCAAGTCATTTCGTATCCCTCTGGTGCAGGGCCATAGGACTATGTCACAGAATTGTCCTCGTTTCTATCTACAGGGAGAAGGTGCCCACCCAGAGCTCTGTGGCCAGGAACCAGATTAGAGATGCAAATGGGAAGAGCAGAGAGCACGAGAAAAGAGCAGAACATTCCGGATGGTGGTCGTTCCTTGGTACTTCCCACCACAGCATGCTGGTCCTTCGGGAGTGTTTGCATTTGGTTCCCACCTGACTTCACTCCTCAGTCATCGGTCAGAACCGGCCACATGCCAGCCCAGTGAAATAAGACATCCTCCCTGCTCTTGAAAGACATACCATGCAGCCTGGTGGAATGTTTAGAAAAACAAGTGACATAAGACTGAGTCCACAGCACTCCTCAAAGTTTCTAGGAGAAATTCTTTTCCCGAGAGGCCTTCGCTCACTGCCTCCCGGATGCCAGCAAACAAGCTGTGAGCGACGCTGGCCCACTGCTTCCCAGAGAGGCACTGATGTCGGGGCTCTCCGAAACTGGGCTCCTGTTCCACACGGAGGCTGTGTCTGCGGGCAGCACACAGTCCTGAGCTCCTGGAACCAGGACTGAGGTTGAGTGCGATGGCCCGTCACTAATGGAATTCGAGATCTGAGTCAGGGCCCATATCAGTCTTCCCTCCCTCAAGAACCCTGCCTGCCCTGACCTCAGCGCCACGACCACGCCCTCTTCGATCGCGTGGCAGCTGTGTAGCCCAGCCCTTTGGCATTCCGGGGAGCCACAGAATGTGCCTTGGCTTCCTGTTCCTAAGGAGACAGGGTAAATAGCATGGTCAGCCATGAGGACACTGCCCAGAGGAAACACTCCATAATAAGTGATAAAGTTGAGGAAAAACAGGAAAGAACCTTGTGCATTTCCTGGGGCAGAACAAACAGGACAGCAGTCAGAGAGAGTGCACACTTTCCATGCATGCACCTAGCACAGCTCCCCTGAGATGGGCAGGCAGGAGAGGAGGTAAGACCAGAGGCTCTTAGAAGTGAAGGGGCCTTCGGAAGCTGGTTTAAAGGGAAGTGCTAAGGTCCCCATTAGGAAGTCTAGCACAGGGGAGGGCAAACTTTTTGACTCGGGGGCCACAATGGGTTCTTAAACTGGACCGGAGGGCCGGAACAAAAGCATGGATGGAGTGTTTGTGTGAACTAATATAAATTCAAAGTAAACACCATTACATAAAAGGGTACGGTCTTTTTTTTTTTTTTTTTTTTTTTTAGTTTTATTCATTTCAAACGGGCTGGATCCGGCCCATGGGCCGTAGTTTGCCCACAGCTGGTCTAGCAGAATAGAACAAATAATCAAAGAAGACCCAGAACTCCCCAAACTCGACGTTTGTCCCCTGGGATAGCTAAAGGCTGTGGGAGCTTCCGAAAGGGCTCCCTTGGTTCACTGAGACATAAGTTGCTCTGTGCTGATGCTGGATTTTGGCTACTTTGTGTCCTCATGGCTGACCATGCTATTCACAGTTTTCTATGCACAAGATGCTTGCTTGAGTAATTAGCCCTTAACACGATCCAAAGTGACCTTCAGCATGTGATGCCAGCAGGTTTGGGCCAGCTGAAGGGAATTTAATTTTGTCTAATAAAACTTTCAAGATAATCCTACTGGCAGTTGCAGCCTCTTTGAGATACTGTGTCTTCTGGGCTAGTACCTTGGGCCCCTCGCAGGAAACCTTTTGGCTCCTAAGATTTGGCAAAGCCATCTAGAGCGTGGCTGCCACATACAGAGCAAACTGACTATTTGAGCTGGAAACAAGGACCCAGGGTGGGCAGGACAAGAACTCTGTTAGGCAGACCAGAAAGCCGAGCCTGTGAATTGGGGCCATCACCAAAAATCTCGGGTATGGGGCCGTCGCACCGTTGAACACCATGATTGCTTTTAAGCTCTAAAACCTTCCCTAGAACCCCTACCCAGCTGTCTTTACTTTATCCTACCGGTTCCCTTGCAGCGGTTCTCAACCTGTGGGTCGCGAACAATGAAAATACATCCTGCATATCAGATATTTACATTATGATTCATAACAGTAGCAAAATTACAGTTATGAAGTAGCAATGGTTGGGGGTCACCACAACATGAGGAACTGTATTAAAGGGTCGCTGCTTTAGGAAGGTTGAGAACCACTGCCTTAGGGTGTCTGAATTTGGGGATCCACACATGCTCTACACAACTTTTTGCTCAGAATTGCAGTTACCCTAAATCTCTGTAATGCATCAGTGTACACTACGTTTAAAACGCATATTTTGTCTATGCTGCTACAGGCATAGAACATTCCTTAAAGAAAACAGAAGGGACCTTGCTGGTGTGTTCAGTGGTTAGTGCACTGGCCCACACACTGTCCAGTCAAGGGCACACACCTGGGTTGTAGGTTTGCTCCAAGTCCCCCATCGGGGTGTGTGAGGGAGTCAGCCAGTAGCAACCAATGGACATGTCTCACATTGATGTTTGAGTTCTGTCTGTCTCTCTCTCTCCATTTCCCTCCTTCACTTCTGCTCTCTCTGAAAAGCAATGGAAAAAAATATCCTCAAGTGAGGATTAAAAAATTTTTTTGGTTAAATTTAAAAAAGAAAACAGAAGGAAGTGTAGATGGTGGCGTTTGCCTCCAGGGAGGGAGATGGAGATGCAGGATGGGGGTGGAACCTTCTTGTATAACCTATTGCAGTGTTTGGTGGAGACCGCTTTTCAACATGTACACACACCACTTTGCCAGTAAAGGGTAAAGAAATCCAGACATATACCCAAGGGAAAAAGCAGTGCACTTTGTCTTACTATTTCTGCTATATGTGTGGTAGGTTGTTAGTACAAAATAAAGTCAGGTTGTCATATTGTGATCTTGGGGTCCTTCCCTAGGGCTCCTCCAGTGGGGTGGCTCCCAGGAGCTTTCACTCCTCTCTCCATGACTTAGTCATCTGTGCGAGTTTAGACTAATGTGGAGACAAAAGATCGCCACCTCACAGAGTTATCTGAGGACTGGATGGGAAAATCCACCGAGAGCAGTCAGCACGTAGCAGTGATCAGTAGAGACTAATTTCCTCAGTTATATGAGCTTTTCCCTTTGACCTGACTATCTGCTCATGCAGAGCCTGTTCATGGTTATGAAAATAGGGAGTTTCCCTGACACGGGGAACTCTAGAAACCACTGTCGAGTGGCTCCCAGAGCTGGAAACGGAGGCTCACTGGCATCTGGGCTACAGCGCTTTTCAAAACACTAACGGGATCTCTGCCTAAGAAATGGCAGGGGGAGGGGCTTAACAAGTAAACTACCCTTCCCAGAAGCCTCCTGGCTGACAAGAGGGGCCTGCCCTGTGAGCAGTGAGCAGAGCAGAAACCGCCAGTAGTGCGAATACAAGGAAATGTGGGACAAAAGCAACTGCACTTTCTCACTGAGAAACAAAGTACACAAAGTTGCTAAACCCATTCCCAAGAACTCTAGGCTCTCAGCTTTAGGGCTAGTTGTTCTAGAAACAGTTTCCCTATCTGATGTGAATACAATTACAGGTTATGAGTATGGTGTTTCTATCTCTCCCGATTCCTCTATCTGATAAGGAACTTGTATTTTCCCAGAGTCAAGCGTCCTTGACATGGTGCCTGGAGGTAAGTTTCCAACTCTATGTTATCTTAGCCCTTTTCAAGCTCTTGAATTTCACCCTGGGTACCTCTAGGGGGGCACTTTCTACTGGTCTCCTATTTGGGGGAGAGGGAAGAAGAGAAATTAGGGGAAAGGTTTGATGCTTTTTTCTTGAGTTTATGGCAAGCTTTACATTTCATTGACTGCCACAGAGACCTAGGCAAAAGGGACCATCTCTGCCCCAAGCCCCACAGCTTCTGCACCCCACATCCAAACATGTAACAATGACGTCAGCTGCGTGAAAAACAGCAGGAAACAAGCCAGCATGAGGAGAGAGCCACAGGCAGAGCCAGAACAGAGACAGCAGGACTTCCATGGGGGCAGAGTGACCTATTTCAGTTTCCAAAGCCAAATGAAATAGATACTGCCACTGGGTGCTGCCGGCTACTGGGGTAATGTCCTTCTCAGGTGAACCCAGAGCTGGGAAGTGAAGTGAGCACCCTGGGAGCTGCAGTGTGGCCCAGCCCCTCCCAGGCACAGCACCTCCCCACCTCCCTCTCCCAAGTAGACCCTGGCACTTGCCTCCTTGTCCCTGCGGGCAACATTCAGGGAGACTGAGGCATGGCCCCTGTGCTGGTCCTGGCCACACTCCTGGCAGATGCACTGGCGATCCGGGCGGCAGAAGGCGACCAGCGGGCTGTGGTGGGCAGGGCAGGTGGGCAGGTCCCGGTCCTTCACCGGCTCCGTCAGCTGGTGGCTGTGCAGCTTGCTGTTCTCCTGGTGCGGCCTCAGGTGCTCCTCACAGTAGTTCAACATGCAGGTCAGGCAGGACTTCACCGCCTTCACCCTCTGGGCCCCCAGGCAGAAGTCACATGGGATCTCCTCCTCACCACAGCCACCATCCTGGGAGCCAGCGCCCAGCCCCTCCACGTCTCCCTGGGGGCTCTCCAGGGAGCGCTTGTCCTCTTCTGCTGGGCTGGCTGACCCAGAGTCTGGGCTGAGAGTGACCAGGGAGTGAGCTGCGATCCCGGGCAGCGGCCCTGGAGCCATCAGGTCCAACTCGGCCATCTGGAAAGCACTGCGGCAGAGCTTTCCTGCTTCTGCTCCTGGGCCCAGGATCCTTGAAGCCAAAGTCAGACAAGAGAGCCACGCCCAGGTGATTGCAGCTGCTGCAAGATCTTAACTGTTTCCTCCCTCCCAGAGGAAGCTGGGTTAGTCATTACTCCGCTCAGTGCTTGGACAGCGGCCAGCTGGGGTGGTGCCACAGCAGCTAGATTACTCATACTCAGGACAGCCGCTCAGGATGCCTTCCCACAGGCACAGGCCCCTCCTCGGGTCTGGTCCAAAATTTCAATTCTCATATGAATCATTTGTTCCCATAGGCTAAACCAAAGAGCATGTGTATCTGTGGCTGCTCCGGAAAGGACTAGATATTCCTGAGCTCTGTTGTAAGAAGCCTGTGTTGCTTGACATGGTTTTGCAGGCTACATTTTTTGGGTTTTTGTTTTTTAAAGAAATCCAAAATGCAAGGACTTCAGCCTTAAGGCAGACACATTCATCCATTCTCCTCTCACAAGCAACCAGGAACAAGATCCATGCTTCTGCATCTGACATCCGACCTTTTCCACATCATCTTCTTGCACATTTCAGTTCAGGTGGGTATTTAGTGTGGATCAGGAGGGTCAGGGAGGAGCTCCATTCAGACAAACCTCCCATCCTGCCCTATGGTCCTGGAGAGGGATGTATACCAAGAAATAGCCCCTTTGTCCACTTAAGAAGGTGTTTGTTCCCAGATACACTGTGTAAGTTTGCTTGGGCTGCCATAACAAAATACACGGATTAGCTGGTTTTGTTAACTTGAAAATAAAAGACCAAACTGAGAAGCAACCAGTGTTTATCTGAGATAAAAAAGGATAGCTATTTGGAAAGCACTGATTCAGGCAGAAACCTGTGGGGGAGGAAGAAATTTTCCTCTACCCTTCTAGGTTCTTCCAGCTGGTCTAATATTCAAATAAACATGCGACAGAATAACAAGAGAAAATAACCAAATTTAATTTCATACATATGTATGGGAACACTGCATACCTGGGAGAACCAGACACCCCACATACATGAGAATTTCAGAGACAGAAAAGGAAAATTATATATTTGGCATTCAGAGCTCAGGATGAGGTAAGGCGCCTTGGGGCTTCAGAGAGGAGAAAGGTCATTCACTGGAGAACAATAAGAAAAGCATATGTTCAGTAATTAGAGGCTTGCTCCACCCTACTATCTAGATAGGTCATGAATATTTACTTCTGATGGTAACTTATTCTGGGCAAGGACCCAAATGTAAATTATGTAAGGGAGAGGTAAACATTTTTCATGAAACTGCAGGATCTTGATTACCTTCAGCTCAAAATAATTTACATACCAAAGTGGCACATGTTGAGGAGGCCTGTACTGAACCTCTTCAAACCCAAATAGTCTTTTGATTCGGAAGTGCAGGCAAGGGGTCTTTATGAGGAAAAGGAAGGGGGATAATTACACGAATAAAGGAACAATTTCTGAAGGAGGTATTAAGCTGTTATTCTTTAGCTGTACATGGTGATGCTAAATCTAAAGAATGCCTTTAATTTGCAGTCCAGTACTCAGGATGCCTGCTTCCCTAGTAACTTGCAAACAGTTGTTTGAAACACAATGTTGGTCTGGCCCAGTCCAAAGATTACTTTTCCAAGTTCAAACATTCCAAAGGTTGGAGGAGTAAGATATGCAAGTCTTCCCTAGCTCTACTTTTAAATGGCTTCAACTATATCAACATTTCACAGTTTGAACAACAGGAATTTATTTTCTCACAATTGTAGAGACTGGGAGTCCAGGATGAAGGTGTTGTCAGGGTTGTTTTTTCCTGAGTCTTCTCTCCTTGGCTTGGGGAGGCCTCTCCTCTCTGAATCCTCACGGGGTCTTCCCTCTGTACATGCCTGTGTCCATTCTCCTCTCCTTATAAGGGGACCAGTTTTATCCGATGAGGGCCCACCTGAATGACCTCATTTTACTTTAATGACCTCTTTAAAGACTGTGTCTCCAAATACAGTCACATTCAGAGCTACTAGGGGTTAGGACTTTAACTTATGAATTGGGGTGGGGGACAGAAATGATTCAGCTCATAACACAATGCTAGAGGATGAGACAGGAAGTATCTAGCCCCTTAGAACAAAGGCATCACCACTGGATGTGGGGGTACACAGCATACTTAGTATTTGCCAGATGAGCACCCGAGAGCCCAGGGTACCTTCCCCCAACTCTGTATTCTGAAAAGACTCTGCAGCTTCCCCCAGATTTCTTCAGATAAACTTGTATGGATTTAGAAAACAAATGGAGTAAAGACAGACTGAGGGAGGAGGCCCTGGTCCAGCTCACCCCTGAGATCAGGGCTCGGGGTGTCTCCCAAATGCCACACTCCCCGTGGCTCTCTACCCATGGGGTCAATTGTGCAGGATCTGAATTAAACAGATAAACCAAAGGATGTTTCTTGCCAGTGACCAGGACATTTCACAAATGCAAGAAACCCAGGATCTGCTTATAGCTGGAGGGCATAGACAATTATAGCAATCTGTCTCAGATGTGGCCCAGCAATAGGTATAAAATTTCCCAAGTACCCTGTCTGAACTACCCTCCTCCACTGCTGAAGATCCCCCCAGAGAGATTTCCTTATGTTTCATTTCATGGTTCTTAAATCTCCAACTGGAGGGAAAGGAGCTGGCTTCTGCTGGTAGGCCTTGGGCTTTCTCAGTTATTAACAGAACAGGGTTGCTTCTATGTCAGAGTGACTTGGTGCTGGGAATAGAACAGGGCCTTTGCTCTTTCTAGGGAGGCAGAGGGAAGGTGGGTGCCTGTCTGACCTGCTCCATAGTTTCAAGTGCCAATCAGAGGGCATGGGTCCGGCCTGGGTTTCCTGTGGCCTCTCACTCATCACCCCTCTCATTCCTGCCCTTCCCCCTTCCATGAATTGCTTCCCTGCCACACCTTCTTTACTACTAAAATTGTAGGGCAGCTCATGCTGCTCAATCCTTCTTCAGTACTCCATCGGGGCCCTTGAGCTACTGACATTCCATAGCCAAGTGGAAAACAGGAAATCTGAATTTTGAGTCCCAGGTTGGTTTGAGAAAATCATTTCTCCTCTCTTAACCTCACTTTCTTTGTCCATAAAATGAGCAAGTCAGAGTTGGTAAGAAGTTCCTGGGTTGGCTCTCTGGGAAACTGTTATGTCTAAGTTCATATCTGAGCTGAGTGGGAGAGGCACCACCATCACATACCCTGCTTCCAGAACTGCAGTGCACCTCCTCACGCCTCAACCCCTATCCACACCTCAGCAGCAGGAGGCTGGGGCTGACACCCTGCGAGTCTCCCAAAATCAAGTTCCCTGTTGAAACAGTCACTCTGCAACCACCGCCACCACCCCTTTCCTCCCTGTGCTCCCTAGGATGTCCGATAGTCTGTCTTCTCTAGATAGTTCCCTCTGCCTCCCTGCCTTACCAGGAATGTGGCTTTCCCCCAACACTGTGCTTCTCCTGCTGCCTCTCAACCAGCTCTCTTCCTTCTCTGCCATGTGTGTATCTCAGAGCCAAGGTGGAGTGGGAGGCTCCTCACCCCCTCTAAAATACCCAGACCATCAAGCACCCCCCGCCCCCCACCATCTTGTCAGATCTGCTCCCCTGATGTTCATCCCAGTCGGCAATGCCACCTCCTCCCTCCTCCGGGCTGTCTTCTGCCAGCCTCCTGACCATGCCCCTTGCTCCTGGAAGACTGAAGCCCCTGGATCATAGCCTCCCCCTCTCCACCCCAGCTCTCAGAACCTGCACCTCTGAATTTCCCTTCACCACCTCATAGCTGAGGCCCTTCTCCTCAGCCTCCCACCCTGGGGTCACACCTGATTTTTTTTTGTTTTTGTTTTTTTAATGTGGTAAAATAAACATATAAAACTTACCATTAACCATTTGTAAGTGGCATGGAGCACATTCACAACTACCATCACCACACACCTCCAGAACTCTTTCATCTTGCAAAACTGATCATCTGTCCTCATTAAATAACTTCCCATTCCCTCCCTCAGCCCCTGGCAAGTCACCATTCTACCTACTGTCTTTGTGAATTTGACTTTGCTAAGTACCTCATGTAAGTGGAATCATTCAGCAATTGTCCTTTGTCTAGTTTATTTCTCTCAGCATAATATCCTCAAGTTCCATGAATGTATGAGAATTTCCTTCCTCACACATGGATTTTAAGTTCACCAGAACTCTGTCTCCAAAACCATGAATTGATAATCCTACTCTCTGACTGCACCTATGGATCACTTGCTTAAATGCCCTTTGGAAAAAAGGGCCTCTGGTTCAATGTGCCTCTAATGCACTGTTCTCCACCATTTCCTCTGTCACCTTTCCCCTCCTGTCTTCATTTTCTTCTTTGTCCCTTTTAGACTCCATGGTCTACCACAAACATCCTTCTCTTACAGCTGGCCTCAGCACCCTTGCCCTTTCTAACCTCTATCACGTTCTCTTGACAACCCCAAAACCCTAAGTGACCACCATTCACCTTCCCTGAACCTGCATCTAAAAGCAAGAATTACTGGAGCAAAATCAACAAGAAGCGTGCCACTGTAAGTTCAAGTACCCTTC